TCAAGATGGAAAGCAGTCTTTACCATAAGCAGGGGGGAAGTGCAGACACCGAAACAGAAACCCACACTCACTGCCGTGGGTTGCTGTCCCGCCCTGGTGGGCGATCAGCAGAGAAGAAGGAGAATTGAGAGAGGGCTCAGGGATAGAAGGTCAGAGTGCCACACTGAGTGTCACACTGAGTGTGGCACTAGGAAACATCTACCATACACCCAGCATTGAGTCAAGGCAGTTTTGGTAAGCAACTACAATATGTCCGGCACTGTGATTCTGGACTTGGGATGCAGCAGTATGGCCATAGTTAAAAATCTTAGCAATGCAGCCCACCTGAGGGAGGGTCCATAATACGTGGTCACACGTGAATCATAAGATAACGGAAAATGCCAGCTAGGCCACTGACATGTCTGAACACTAGCTGTGAAAATGGCCAACAGATGCTGCTGGTGGCTCTGGAACACACTGGCACTGGAAAGAGGCAGCAGGGAACATCACTGGCTCCCTTATTCTCTTACAAGTCACAGGTGCCCTGCTGGTAGCGCCGTTTCTGCCAGACCAGATTTAGAAAAGATTGTAATTAACTTAGCGGGGGAAGAAGGAGAAGAGGACAGGGAAAGAGGATGAAGGGAGTAAAAGAAGAAAGAGGGAGAAAAAAGAAAGCAAAAAGGAGGAGTAGAAGGGATAGGAGGAGGTATGGGGAGGCTGAGATGGACATCAGCCCCTCCCCCAGTGGCTGAAGGCAGCAAGGAGGCCCCTGGCTTGGTATTGCAATGTTTATTCTGACTATAACATCCGTTGCCTCCCTGCCAGCAGAATCATGATCATGGGTTCCAGGAATTAGGGCATGCCTATCTTCAGAGTTCCCTGTTCTGCCCTGTGCTTAACCATTGCAAAAGAGGCTTTGGTTTAAACAAAAGCACACAGCTTAAGAATGGAGAGGCAGGTTTTTGATTCAAGGATGTGTTCAAGGACCTTTCCTTCTCCACTGTGCTACCTTTGCCATTGTCTCCATCTCCACACTTGTCTCTTCATGATCACAATATGACTGCAAAGCACTGTACATCACATACAGAGTGGAAGGAAGGTGGAAAAGGACCATCTCATGCTTTCTGGTTAGGAAGAACTGTCAGTGTGACCTGTGGTCCCATGACAGCCAAGGAAAACTGTGTAGAATGAGTTGAACTGAGATGCCCAACTAGAAATAAAGGCTGGGCCATGCCAAGATGGGTATACAACACAGAGTGGCCAGGACCACAGTTCATCAAAGAGGACCAAGGGGACAGGCTCCAGAGACAGTTGCAATACAGCTGTTTGCAGCCCACATCACAAATTAATAACATTATGGAGGGGCTTTCTAGGAGGGACTTGGTCTGGGTCTGCATGGCAGGATCTGGGGTGACAGAACTGAACCTTTGTAAAGTTGGTGCTGTGCAGGGGCAAAAGGGTGTGGGGTGGCTCGGCCTCTGTGTTCACCATCCCCAGCCCTGCAAAGGAATAACAGCGCAGTCACTCTGCACATACCCTGTGGAGAGATGGGACATGCACAGACACAGCACGGTGACAGTGGGGCACATTTTATTCTAGACTTGACTTGTTCTGTCCTTGATCCCAAGGATGTCATTTTCCTTGACCGTGATTTACAGCCCTACTCCCACATCATTCAGACACACTCGACATCAAGAGTAAACTTAGAGAACGCTTTTAAAGCGTTAAGTGTGCAAGAACCATTCCAGGGGGTCACAAAGTAATGCATTTCATTCTCACCACGGTCTCATGAGACAGGTACCATTTACAGACGAGGATGTGATCTCCAGAGAGGTGGCAGTCTGGCCCGGCGCCACACAGCGGGGTTCAGGGTACACTGAATGCTTGTGCTGTTCACCAGCGCACGACAATTTGTGAGAGAAAAGCTGAGGAAGATGATTCCAACTCAGGTAAACTGGGCTGCAACTATTTGGACTGCACTTGGGGAGCCCTGGGGACGCAGGCCAGTGCTGGGACAATGCGGGCCACCAGGGGGCAGCAGGGACCAGGGCACGGCCCTTCCCTTGACCCCTCTTCCACTTTGGGCCCTCTTGACCTAGGAACCACTGGGTGTCACTTGCTCTTACCCCCATTTTTTCTTTCGTTGCACCCGAGTGGTGACCGCACTATGCCTACGGTCCTACGAACATTAACGTCACCCGAGCTCAGGGGTGACGCTAGTCCGAGACGTCACATGTGTTGCGAATCCACAGAGTTCAGCACAGCCTTGGTAGGGCAGAAACTTGCTGTGATTTGGGGTGGTTTGATTTTTTTTTTTTTCGTTTTTTATTTAATGATCTTTATGTGGAATCCATGTCAGAAAGGTTGAACAGGACACGCGCGATCCGCGGCCGCCCACGAGGCTAGAACCAGAATAAGGCCAAAGCAGCGTTTTCTTCCATGGAGTTCATCGTGTTTCCTAGGCAGCCGGGCTGCTGGGAAAATCCCAGCCTGCAGTACCGGGCTGACCGCGCCCACCGCCTGCAGGCACCCCCACCCCACCCCGCCATGCCATACCAACTTTTCTAGCTCTTTCCCTATCCCCTCTAGGTGGAGGCCGTTGATAAAAACAGACACAAAAGTTAGATGCTAATAAACAACCGTGTTCATTTTTTTTTTCTTTTTTTCTAAGCGACAATTTCAGCTCCTCAATCAAACCAGCCACATTTCTAGGCACCGACCAAGCAACGGGAAGCATTTCCTGTGTGGTTTGAATGTGGTGTGTCCCCCTCTGGGAAGCTCCACTGGAGTTGAATGCCTTTGGAGATGGAGTAAAAGGAGGAAATGACTCACTGTGATATTTAGTAGGGGATCAAGGTTAGGTAAACTCATTAAAGTAGGCCATGACTGAATGAATCATAGTGGCTGTATACAGAAACCAGACACACGAACGAACACACACACACACACACACACACGCACGCACGCACGCACGCACGCACGCACGCACGCACGCGCGCGCGCACACACACACACACACTCTTTCCCTCTCTCCCTCTCTTCCCCCTCTTCCTCCCTCCCTGGATAGATCCTGCCCTTGAAAATAAACCGCTTTTCTTTATAACTCACTTGGTGTGTGGGATTGGGTGATAGCACAGGAAACAGTCTCCGTTTCCATCTCAGCACACAGCTGTGAGGTAGAGCCATCGTACACACTCACTTGTTTACAAAATCCCTTCTTGAGGTGAAACTGAGCCAGTGTCCTATTACTACTGGATGTAAAATGTACTCCCTCAGGCTTCTGTTTGAACACTTGGTCCCAGCTGGTGGCTGTTTTTGCGAGATGGCAGAGTCTTGGATACTGGGCCTTTCTAGCAGAAACGGGTCACCAGTGGGCCTTAAAGGCGATAGCTACCTCCAGTTCCTGTCACTAAGGTGCACACAAACCCCACTGCAGCCTGAGTCGCTGCGGCCACCATGCCTTCTCCACCATTGTGGACTGAACACCCAGAAACATGAGCCAAGACTGGCCTCTCCTGTAGGCTATTTCTCTGGAGCTTGTCGGTGAGAAATGAAGCAAGCTCTTCCTGGAAGCTTAAAATAAAATTCAGATTTGTGAGCATGATCTGAGAAAACTTAACAACTGCCTGTCACGGAGAAGTTGTCTGATAATGATAATAGTATGGATAATGATAAATTGGATAATAGTATGAAGAACCAAGACTGGTGACAGTTGGAACTCACAAAGGGTAGGCCTTAGCTAGTTGGGCATGGGAGCCAGGAGGGCACGGGCTGGCACTCTCTATGTTAAACGACTGTAGGAAAGATGATCTCGAGGAGTCCAGGAAACAGCCGGACAGAGAACCCAAGTGCCAAAAGCACATACCTGGCACCTAAATTATCAGAGGGCACCCAAGAGATGGGAAGAGGGTGCTGACAGAGCCAGCATTGTTGCATAGACCTTTGCAGCTTCCCGGATTTGCAAGTGAGGAGAGCTGATGCAGGCAGTATGGGGGGGGGGGGGCAGAGGACCAGAGACTAGAGCTTGAAGGTCAAATGCCAGACCACGAGGCTGCTTTGAGACAGGATCTCACAACAAAGCCTAGGCTAGGCTCAAACACTGCTGGGATTAAAGACACAGACCATCACACCCAGCTGAAGGGAGTTTATAAGAGGCACAATGCAGAGGAAGTTCTAAGGGTGGGCTGGTAACAATTGTCTAGGACAGACAGCTTATCCCTGTGGCAGTCATTTCCCTGCAGGATGCAAATATGAACCTCAGGGGATTTTAACTTCAGACTTCTGCTTCTGCAAGGTGGGAGGGAACCCCACAGGAGGTATACCTTAGGAGGCTCTCAGCTCCTGCTTAGGAGTGTGGTAAGATTATTCTGGGGCGTCGTGTGTAGTAGTACTATAATCCCAGCCTCAGGAGACAATGATGTGAGTTGGAGGTCAGTCTGAGCCATCATGAGGCTTGTCTTCAAAAACATTGTGCTGAGATGTGAATGACTGAGGTTGGCTTCTCCTCTTAGCAGTCAGAGCCAAGACCCCAATCTCTGATGCTTTGACCACACGAGATCTTTGTGCTGCAAACTTTGGATATAAGCCATCTGCTACCCAGCATGTTCTGAGTTCTCCCTGGCTTTTTGCAGGTACCATGGCTTACCTCAAATATGGTTTTCTCTAAGCCTCATTCAGTGACCTCTCTTGTCTTTCCTGTGTTTGTCAAGACACAGACTATGAAGGTTCTCTGCTGGCCTGCCAGGTTTCCACCCTACACCTCTGCCTAACTGTGGCAGCTGGAGCTGGAGGGTGCAGGATGGAACAGCTATGGCCCTGTCCCATTCCCAAGTCACCCCCAAAACCAACTGCTGGAACCTTGTCTCATGCACTCTCAGACTACTACATTTCAGCCGTTTTGTATAGGCTGCCAGGAGGCCTCAATGAGTTGTAAAACTGCAGGCCTGTTGCGCGCGCACGTGTGTGTGTGTGTGTGTGTGTGTGTGTGTGTGTCCATGTGTGTGTGTGTGATAAAGAGGAACTGACAAGATAAAGAGTCTTTATTGACGTTAAGCTCCACGTGGCCTGGCCTGCCCTCCTTGCAAACATATTTGTTGTAGCAAAGGCAAAGACATACGGACACTGCTCAATCTGGCCCCATCTTTCCAGAAAGCAGTCAGACTTCAGTCTGTTCTCTGCTACCACCTGGCCACCAACCACAACCAGCCCCATTCCTTTGTGGTCTCATCTTGACGGCCAGCAGCGGTGTACACTGGGACCGTCCCCTGGGCAGCTGCGTCTGGTTTTTGGCATCCCCACCTCCACATTTCAGGAGCCCTGGCTGCAGGTAGCATATCAGCAACTGGCAGTGACTGTGGTTACTTTAGGCAATCAAAACTTTCTTGTAGCTTTGCTGCTCTCCACAACCGAGTTAGCTGTGACAGCATATTCTGCCTCCAGCCTCAACCCACAGCAGTTTTCCAATAGCTGACCTTCTTGAACCTACTGTTTCTACCCATTTTTAGTGCCTCCCAAGCCACTGGCAGCCTCCTGCCAGCTCTGAGTGTCTAGGCTCAACTTTCAGCTCAATGAGAGTCAAGCAGCTGTGCCAGGACTGCTATGGACCTTAGGCAACAGATCTATTTGGTGGGGGAAAAATAGGCCTGAGCAGGTAGGGTACCAACAACTGGGAGAGCAGGGGGCTTAGGACCCTCAGTACTGTTGTGAGATACAGAACACGGAGCCCTCAAACCCCTTGTGAGGAGAGCCCAGGGCAGTGGTGGGAAGGCAGCCAGGCTCCAAGCTCCAGGGTCAGGCTAAGTTCTCATCTTCAATTCACCATTCTCTGGATTTCAGGGAAGCCTGCCAGCTGGGCTATCATCTCCTAGGAGGTACGTTCCTGGCTTGGATGAACCCTGGTCTCATTACAGACCTCAACAACAGCACGCTCACTCACCTAAGAAACCGCCATGCTCAGGGTGCCTGCAGGCACCTTGGTGATATGGCTGGAAATAGCATGACCAGTGGTCTTACCCTCCACTGACAAGTTTGAAGGTGTCCTGGGTGCTGAGGTGAGGCTGGCTTCTGGTGGCATCTTCCCAGGGCAGCTTTCCAAGGCTCCTGAGAGGCTCCCTGGGGATGGTGACCTGTCCCCACAACAGCAGCCACAGCAGGGGCTAGCAACCACGTGGATCTGGCCACCTTCCTCCTGGCTGTGGTGCTGCTTCAGGTGGCCACACAGGTGACAGGTGAGGGAAGAGTAGACAATGCCAAGGCCCAGGTCGTCCCCAGAGGGCTTGGTCACTTGATCTGCAGGAGGAGGGGCCTTTAGTCTGTCACCGCCTTTGAGTTCTAGCTCCAGACCAAGGCATTCTGGGGTGCTGCTGGGTGGGACTGAGTTCAGAGAACTGGGTGGTGACTCCATGTCCAGTCCGAAGGTGAATAAGGGCATTGAGCTAGGGGACTGGTTAGGAACAGGGTTCTGGAAGGGCTTGTAACCTCCATTCCCACTGACAGTCCCCGGTCCTGCTGTGTCCGTGCAGCTGTGGCTGAGCAAGCTAGAGAAAGCCTTGTAACCAGCATCTGCACTGGGCCCAAAGCAAGGCACCCTGGGGTCCTGGATGGCACCCTGTTTTACTGCCTGCACAAACTCCCGATAGCCACTAATAGGGGCTGAGGCATGGCCAGCTGCCCCATGCTGCAAGATACTGAGGTGAAGGATTTGTTCCCAGCTTTCCACCTGCTGCATAGGTGGACCTGAAGAGTGGGGGTCAGCTGGGCTTGGAGGGTCCTCTTCTTGCAGGTGTGCAACCTGCTGCTGTTCTGAGGCCAGCTCTCCAGGATGCGAGGATGGGCTTCCGAAGTCACTAAAACTACGGTAGGCAGGGTTATCTGTGACGACAAGTGGCACCTGTGTGCACGTTGGGTCAGTTGCACTGTGGGTTGGCGTGCCTGAAGGAGGGCCCGGGTGTGAAGGCTGCTCTGTGGCCTTGCATGTGGCCTCCTCAGGCCCCATGGGGAAGCAGGGCCAGGCCACAGAAGCCTGCCCACTTTCTGAAGGCAGAGGGGAGCACAACTCCCCCAGACTTGACTGGCCAATGCCCCCATCCTCAGCCTTCAGCAAGTCTGAAAACAGGTTTTCAGTGAGCCGGGCCATGATGTCTGCCTGACCCTCCTGCAAGCCACCTGCACTGTTCTCAGGTAACAGGCTCAAGTCCCCTTTGACCATCTCCTCTTCTTCCTCCTCACTCTCTACTGGGGCCTCAAACAGCTCCATACAGCGTACCACACTGACACTGACATTCTCTGGCCAAAGGACCGTCCTGCTGACCGCCACAGGATGCCAGGCTGCCTTTTCAAGACTCTGGAGAGGCCCGGTTTTGGCAGCCTTTGGGGACTCTGCCTCTTTCTTCAGGCCATGCTCTAGCAAGCAGGGCAGGAGTTTGGTCAGACAAGTCTTCCAGCGTCTGCAGAAATAAGATTTAGGGTTCAGTTTCACCACCACTGAAAAATTCCTTTTCCATCCTCCAGAACATCACCGTGTTTTAATATTGGGGTGTTACAGACATGATTTCTGACTTTATTATCAATACCCAGTCTGTTCTCACTGTAGAATGGGATGCAGCAACCCATAATTGCTTCCTGCCACCAGGAAGAGAGAAGGCAGCTGTCTGCGGAGCATGGGGTGCAGAGAAGGTGAATGACCCCGCCATCAGCCTAGTAACTACCACATTCTCACACTTCCCAAATCCACAAAATCTACAACCCAACTTCATGTTCAGATACGTACGGGCACTTGGTTGACTCCTGGCTTCGGGTCTGCTTTTCCCAGAGAGGCACCTAAAACAGACAGTCAATGAGAGAATGGGGTGTTGTTCTGCCAGTCCATACCAGCTACAGAAGGCTCAGTGTCTTCACAGACAGTGGCTGTGTTTGGAGCCTTAGCTCCCCACGAATGAAAGTGCATTGGAGGTGGCAAATGACTCCAGACACTCCAGCTCCCCTGTCCCATCCTTGACTCTGACCTGGCCACAGGACTCGCTGAACACGGCAGAAATAATATTGGGCTCACATGGACATGGGTGTGGGCTTCACAACTGTCCACTGTGCAGTTTACCACCCACACACTACCCTCCTTGGCTCTGGAGTCCCAGTGGTTTGTTCCTCGCCCCCACCCCACCCATGGCCGGGAGCTACATTACAGAACACTTGCATCTTCCTACCTGTGAGTCCTGAATGATGATGGCCACCAGGGGACTTCGTGCTGGGGTGGGAATCTGGTCCCACCATGTCTTCTTAATTCTGAGGGTAAAGGAAGTGCATTGGTCTCTGAATGTGAGGTGGCCAAGATACCCTTACAAGCATCCTGACCAGTGCCCCTACTGGGATACTGAGCCCACACTACCTCCATTTTGGATATGCAACGACAATCTTTGTCCTAACCTGCTGAGGATGACTTTATCCATCACCATAGCCATTCTAAATAGGGAGAGGGGCCCAGAGTGTGATGCTGGCAGAGCAGCTTCGCACACTCACACTATGACAATGTCTGGGGAGGCTGCCTCTGCCCCAGCAAAGACTCAACTACACAGCAAGGATGCTGCTCCCCCAACAGACTCTTCTTAGGAGTAGCAGGAGCATTCTGTCATGCTGGCTTTAACAGGCCTGAGAGGCCAAGAACCATGGGGAAGAAGGCTCCCCCTCTCTTCCTGGACTGCCTGGCTCCTGTGTCTGACTTCTCACAGGATTTGCTGAATACCTACTATGCATCAATCACTGTGCCAGGCCAGGGCCTCAGGCAGACAAAGAGGCCAGCAAAGTGCCTGTGGGTGGGTAGGCTTCAAGAGAAACAAGAAGCACAGGCAGACATGGTCATGTGGTACTCTTTCACCATGAGCAAGACCACAGCCAGGCACAGTTGAGTGGGTATCATCCTAGCCACTCAGGAGTCTGGGCAGGAAGAGTCAACCTTTCTTCCTGAGCTGAAGTGAGTTTGAGGCCAGCCAGGTCAACTTGGCAAGACCTGTCTTGAGGCAAAAGCAAAGTAGAAGACTAGGGTGGAGATCAGGGATACAGTGGGATGTGTGAGGCCCTGGCTTCCAAACAATTTAAAAAATAAAAAGACATCAATGTACAAGTGTAGAGAGGAAGGCGGGCAGGAGAAGCAGGGCTGAGAGTACTAGGGAATAGCCCAAAAAGGCCCAGGTGGGGACATGGCCAAGAACATGCCATGTGGCTTTGAGAACTGCAGGCTGCTAGGTGCAGGGACATAGGGTGGGTCAAGGGAAGGGCAACAAAGCAGAGAAACTGAGGCTCAGGGCAACAGAGCCTAGTTCAGGGTGACTTGGGCCTGAAAGGCAAACCCCAGAGAGGACCTGGCATTCCCAGCAGACTCAGCCAAGTGTGGACACCACATAGCATCAATCCTCAGTTACTATTAATCTCATTTCACAAAGAATATGGCCCAGGGCCCGGATTCCAAGATGGAACTCAGAAACAGACCTTCCCCGTCTACCAGCCCTGCCCAGGCTCCCTTGGAGGTCTTGGTCTCACAGTCACACTGAGCCTACAGAAGAGTCAGGTTATGGGCAGCTTGCCAGCCATCTACTAGCGAGCACCTCCAATAGGCCTCAGTCATATCCTACTATATTCACACCATCTGCCCAAACTCCTGTTCCCACAGCATAACCAATGCCTGGACCACATCATGGACACTGAGAGGGACACAGGGACAACTCCATTTCCTTTGTGCCAAAGAAAGATCCCTCCCCAGCCCTCCCCAGTTCCTTCCCTCCAGAGTACCCACCATCATTACCCTCCCATCCCTGACCACCTGCTCTCTTCTCCAAAGCATAGCCACTGTGGAAAACGCTCCAGACTTTGGACTAGGGACCCTGCCATCCTTGTCTCAGCCAGCACAGTGGCCATTCAGCAACTGAATATTATGGCAGCCAGGACAGATAACCAGGGTATCCACACCTAGCACTGCAGAAGGGCCTGCTTGAGGCACCGGCCAAAGCAGAAACTCACTTGATGATGCCGATGTAGCATGACAGGCAAAACAACAGGATGCAGAAGCAGGAGATGCCAACCCCCAGGGGGAGGCGCTGCACCAGGGGCAGTGGGAAGTCTGCAAGGTGAAGGACAGCCATGAACTGGAAGCCCGCCCTGTGCCATGTGCAGTCTGCCTCCACTCACTCCGGGTTCCCCTGGGACCCTTGGTTACTTGGCTGCACACAGGCCCCCACCTGTCTCCCTAACTCTTCCTCTCATGCACCAAGGGTTGATCACACCTGCATCCTTACTGCCCTTGGTCCAAGTCCAGATCACAACAGCTCGAAGCTGTTGCTCCTACTTTCTGAAGTTCTGAGGTCAGGTGCTCTGACAAGTGGGAGGGCCCGAGTTCAAAGCCTCCTCTATCAAGTCCTTGCTGAACAGTCTGGGGCAAGTTGGTAACTCCCTGAGACTCTCATCTGTTCAGTGGGGCTAGAAACATCTTTCTCACAGGCTGTGAGGACCACAGGATTAAAAAGGTCACACATCCAGCGTGAGCATAGGCATCCCTTGTTCACTGATTAAGGATATCTGTCTCCTCCACCCTCACTCTGCCTCCCTTCCTTCCTGGCACTGGCCTTCATCTGGATCGACCTGTTTTTTGTTTGTTTTTGTTTTTAAATCAGGTTTTAATCTCTTGTTTGTGACGCGTTAGGGTCTGAGTGCAGGACTGCAGCACACGTATGTCAGTCCCTGCCTTTCACATTGCTTGAGATGGGTCTGTGTTCACCACTGTCTACACAGGCTAGCTGGCCACCAGCTTCAGGAGTCTCCTGCTTCTGTCAGGGTTACAGATGCATGCTCCTGCACCAGGCTTTTACATGGGTTGTGGGGATTCAAACTCAGGTCCTTACGCTTGCATGGCACAGACCATCTCCTGAACCCTGCATTTCTGTTTTTGACTATGTCAGCCCCAATGCTCCCAGATCCCCATGTGCTTGACTCACTGCAGGAGCCCCAAGGTCATTCAATCACAGCTTGTCACTATTTGCTGGAAAAAAAAAAAGTGTGCCATATATTGTGCCCACTCTGTACAAGCCCCGCCCCCAGAAGTACCACTGAACCAATCACACAGCCTTCCCTAGCCCTGCCTGTGCAGCTACACTGTGCTAAATACAAGGACTCAGACATGGTCTGAGGCACTCAGACCAGCGTTGTTTCACAATGGACTGAACACTGACCACCACGGAATTGTGGGCCTGTTCATTACCGCAGCCTCTGACTACCATACCACGTCCACAGGGGTGTACTGCTAGAGGCATTCCAGGACTGAAAACCCTGAGGTTCAGCCAAAGGAAATTCCTGACTAGAGAGTGCACATGGTTAGAGACCCTCACGGCCCGGGGCCCTGATACTCACTGTTGTATATCATGACGCCGGGGCTCCACTCACTCCACGTGCCACTGAAGCTCTGGGCCAAGGCCCTCACCCGTGCCATGTATTGCACCCCCGACTTGAGGGTATTGGTTGGGAGTTGCAGCTTGGGTTCCATGTAGGTCACATTATAGACTATGAACTGTCAGAAGAGAAGGTATGAGAGCACAGCTGCCAGGGATGTGTGCGTTGGTTCCCAGCCTGGCTGCTGTCACGAGTGGTCCCTTCCTGCTGGGCATGTGGTCATTCCCACCTCCCTGTCACTGCTGACAGAATGACATAGAGGTGTCAGCCCTCCCGACGCCTCCCATGCTTAGCCATGGGATATCGGCTATTATCTGGACAATGGATGAAACTGGATTGGACACACTGTACACTAAGGCTAAACTGTAGGATCTTGGGTAAGTGGCCTCAGTAGGGAAATCCCTTGGTTTCTGGAGGTCATCTCATCACTGGGAATGCTACATAGGAGGACATGGGTGGCAGGAAATGACCCCTACCTGCAGGGGCCCAAGCAGCCACAGCAGAAAACCTGCCTTTGTCTGTCTGATGACACATCCCTGTGTAGCAAATTTTGGGGATTCTGTTTGTTTGTTTGTTGTTTGAAAGGTCTATGTAGCCCAGACTATTCTAGAACTTTCCATCCTTCTCTGCATCCTGAGGGCTGTGGTTACAGGCATGTGCCACCACACCTAGCTCAACTCTACTTTTAGGCATGAATATGTGTTCAGCAAGAAGCTGAGACCCATGCACAGAAGACAGGTCACCATGAATGACAAAAGCAAAAGTGTCCAGGAATGTGCCTAGCCTGAAGTGAGCACTCTGCCACCCATAACCTCATGCATGCATCCCCTTCTGGGAAGCAGGTATGGCCTCAAACCCTTCACTAAGAGTTAAGATGGCGGGGATAGGTCCTCTTCCTGAGGCTATGGTCTGGATCCAGAAAGTTCCCTAGGGGCCACATGATAGAGGCTTGGTCCCTGGATGGAACTACTGTGAGATGGTGGTGCCTAGTATGAGAGTGGGTCACAAGGGCATGCTCTTAGGAGATATTAGGACAGAGGGTGCGTGCTTGTGTGTGTCCCTCTCTTTCTGTCTCTGGCCACCAAGAGGTGAATGGCTCTGCTCCATTCCTGTCATGGTGCTGCAACACTAGCCTGGAATGAAGAAGGGACCACATAACCAGGGACTGGTCTCTAGGAACTCACACACTTAAGTAAACCTTGCCTCTTAAAGTTGATTATCTCAGTGCTTTATCTTAGTGATAGAAAACTGGCCAACACTGCCACACACTGAAAATGGAGGGCCAGGAAGGGGAAGGATGTGCTTGTGGCAGAGCCCAGTGAGGAGTAAGCTCTCTAGTTCACTGTCCTACCCCACAGCACCTCCCAAGCTCCCTACTCCAAAGATGGAGCCATCCTTCCCAGCCCCATTCCCAGTCAATGGCAGGGACCCATGGTGCCCACTCACTTCCTCAGGGTTGTCCACTCTGGAGATGTTGACCATGTAGATGAGTTCATTGTACAGTGTGTTCTTCATGGGGTACGGGTTGCTCCATGTCAACAGCCATGCGTTGGAGACATTGGAGTGGACCGTGAGGTTGCCCGGAGCCGGGGGCTTCACTGGGGAGGAAGGAAGCCTATATGAGGGCCTTGAGCCCTGAAATCTATTTTGTTTTGATGTCCTGATTAACAACTTCATCTCATCTTCTGTTTTAGGGAAGGCTGGCCTTTAACTCCTGAGCCTCCTTCCTGACTCCTAATTGTGGGATTACAGGAGTTTGCTACCTTACCCAGCTTCATCACTTCTTATGTAATCATATCCATAAAATCACAACTGTAGCATGCACATTAAAGTCAATATGAAAATGACCTTAAACTCATTCATGGGTTAATCCTAATAACTCATAGGTTCCCAGTAGCCTGAGCAGCAGTTCTAATCATGGATGCAAAACCCTGAGATCTTGGAGAGATGTGGTCTTCTATTCTGTCTCTGGTACTGAGAGCTGCGTGACCTTGGGCAAGCTGCCTGGCTTCTCTGGTCTACAAAATGAGGGCAATCAATCTCTTTTTCAAGTTGAGGTACAAGTTAAGTAATTTGATTTGCCCCGGGTCACCCAGCAACAAATTCTTGCTTTGGATTCCTATTGTAACTACACTGGCATGGATATGTATAGCTCAGTGGCAAAGCATTTGCCTAGCATCTGTGAAGTCCTGGGTTCTGTCCTTGGTAATATAAATAAATTAACTACTTAGGAGCAAGTTCTTGCTAGAGACCGCTGCAGGAACTCCGGATAAGGACTAGTGCCGGAGCAGAACCAGCCTTCCATGGTCAAGGCCACGTGACAAGCCAGCAGCTGACCTAAGCTAGCATGCACCCCACCTCCCTGTGCTGGAGCACCCTGCCAATCAGGGCTTACCATTGTCACTGGGCCTGAAGGAGCCCTGCCACAGCAATTGCTCCTTAGCCCACAGGATCAGCTGGTAGGTGTCTGCCTGGATCACTGCATCTGTGTTCATGTGGCACACACATTTGGAGCTGGCACTGTTCTCTGGGATGCATGTGAGGTTTCTGCAGACACAGGCTGGATTAGGGAACTTGCACGTGAGGTTTCTGCAGACACAGGCTGGATTAGGGAACTTCCCATGGTTACCAGCTTCCCAACTGCCTGATAGGAAGACCAAAGCAACCAGGACCAGGGGGGGGGGCATCTGACTTGGGTTAGCATCTTGCTGGCCACAGCCCTGACTCACCCCATTCTGGACACTCCTGTGTTGATCTGGCTGTAGAACTCAGTCCCAGGACTTAGCTCAAGAGCATTAAGAAATTCATGGTGTCCTAGCATCCCTCAGATAAGCCCAGCACACCTCCCACAGGCTCCTGTCCTGTACACACCAGTGTAATCCTGCCAATGGGCCACCTAGATAGGCCACCTACATCTCATAGACCAGGGCCCAAAACTCATTTTCTGTAAAAGGTCAGATATGACATCAAAGGCTTTTGAAGACAATATAGTTTCTGTCACCACAACAAACTTCTGATGTAGCCCTAAAGCCACAGCCACAGACAAGATGAAAATTAATGAGACAGTACCTGCCACTAAAACTTTATTAATAAAAACAATAGTCTGCCTGCTGGGATAGCACATGCCCTTAATTCCAACACAGGCAGGGTAGGCAGATCTCTGTGAGTCTGAGCCCAGGATGTCTATATAGCCAGTTCTAGGACAGCTAGACATAGAGAGATCCTATCTCAAAAAACAAACAAACAAAAACGAGTAGTGGCCAATTAACCTAAGGTCCACAGTTTGTTAGTGTCTGGACTGTGCCAATGTGCAAATTCACAGTTCACTTGCCTTAAGGCAATAGGAGGGTGGAGGCTCACCCCGAAGGCATTAGGGCCATGTCTGTGTGTGTCTTTGGAGCACTGGGTCTATGGACTTGGTTTTGTCCTAGGCACAATGTTCACAGAGTGCCTGGGTGCCTGGGAATTGAACAGCATAAGCCCTGAACACCATGCCTGCACACTCTACCACCCATCTACACAACAAACTCCACAGAGTCTTGTCCCGTGGCTAAGTGTGTTTGGGGGTCATCAGTCAAACTTCTACCGTTCTCTCGACTTAGCATGAAGATCCTAGAGGTTAAATCCAAACCATCATGCACTTGCCTTTATCAGCTGAGCCATCTTGCCAACCTCACTTGTGATTTTTTTTTTTTTTTTGAGACAAGATCTAGTTCTAGCCCTTGCTAAATGTTGGGTGCACAAGAAGTTAGAAAAGTGATGATTTAGTTGAATATTCTAGCCATATGAATACAGTGATAGTGGATCCAGAGTCCTACAGTGTCCTCTGTACCCTGTGGGGGGTGGTGTGGGGTGCTGGCAACTAAACTCAAGGTTATTCGTCTGAAAGTACTCTACCACTGAGCTGCAAGGCCTTTCCCCTGCTTAATTTTGCAACAGGATCTCACTAAGTTGCCCAGGTGGGCCTTGAACTTTTGGCCCTCTTACCTCAGCTTGGTTATAGGTCTGCACCACTAAGCTCCAAGCTCGGCTCAACTGTAATATCACACAGGATACTTCAAACACCACCCAATAAGCTGCCACAGCCACATAGCACAACATATCCTGGTGCCTGCTGGGAGCAGCAAAGGCTTGGACAGACCTCTGGGCACTGTGTCCTTACTCCACTTACTCAAAGAACTCGAAGTCCAGCCAGTAGGACAGGTTGAGCTGAGCTCTGCAGTCGATAGGGCCACCCAGCTGCCACTCACAGCTGGAATTGCTGATGTAGTCAGAGAAGCAGGTGGGCTCACCCAGGACCTCAATGCTCCCTGCAGAGACAAGAGGGCCTGAGCAGGGGAATCATGGCAAGGGTCTCCCAGCACCAAGGTTAAGAGGGAGGCTAGTGCAAAAAGGCAAGGACCCATTCCTGTGTGCGCGCGTGCGCACACACACACACACACACACACACACACTCAAAGGTGCCACTCCATCCCAGTAGCATCCACCCTAAAGCACAGAGGAAGTGGTGAAGCCCCGTAGAGTTGCCCACTCCACACATCTCCCTCCCCCATCCCCTTATCCACTAAGGCAAGGGGCTGACCCTGCTCTGTACTGTCCAGGCTCTTGTCCTCTAGTGTACAAGAGGCTCAGCCAAGAGAAGAGAGGGGAGGAGGGGACAGACACTCACATGTCAGCTCTCTGCGGACAATTCAGAGACCAGGCCCTGTGGGACAGCCAGTGACTGTGGGGGTCTGCTAACTGTTGGGTGCTCTGACTGCTATTTGGGGCCCTTGGGAGCTTTCTGACCCAAGCCCTGCATGGCCATGTTCCAGACAAAGTCACGCTAGACATGCCAGTGGGTGTGGCCCGCCAAGCAGTTAAGTGTTCACACAGTAAACAAAAGTCTGACCTCCTGACCCACTCCTCCAACAGCTGCTCTGGCCTTCCCCATCACACAGAACAGTCTGCCCTCGTCTGGGTTTGGGGTAGAATTTGAGATCCGGTTTTTGTTTTTTACAGTGTCTCCATAGTTATGTCGGGCTGGCCTCAAACTCACAGTCCTCCAGCCTCAGTCTCCCAAGTGCTGAGCTGATAGGTAAAAGCCACACCTGGCCACATGGATGAGCAACCTTGAAGTCAATTCCCATGTGTCCTCATGCTGACCTTCTAGATTGATCCAGAAACCTCTTTTCTTCCCAGGCCTCCACTCCACCTGGTCTCACTCATTCACCAGGTCCTCAGTTCAGACTCTCCAAGGTCCTCTGACTCAGTGGCCCCGTGACATGTGTGTCACCCTCCCCCATCCCCCCCATGCTAGGCAGGCTCTGTCCCGGGGGGCCTCACCAAGAACACAGCTTCACACACTGGCATGCCCGCCCCTGCTTTCCTTCAGGTTGAACCCACTGTCCCTTGAGACAGCATCCTTGAGCACCTTGCTTTATATAACCTGCAATCCCCCCCCCCTCCACCCCATCCCTACTCAGCTCTCATTTCCAGGACAACCTCAATTTTCATTGTTAATTAGTGTCACTGCAAATTAACTATTCAGGACATTTGTCATCAGCTGTCCCCTTCCAATACCACACAGTCTCTACAAGGGCTTTGTCATGTTCATCGATGAACCTCAGAACTCTGACGTGTCATTACCGGTTGATGAATGAATGACAGAGAGGTGGTGCTTACCGGAGTCAGCCACCCACAGCAAAATCAGGCAGCTCACAGAGGTCAGGAACTTGGTATGAAGCCACCCCATTGGGGATGAAAGGTGCCTGCAGAAGAAAGAGTGGGTGAGTGCTGACCTGGGTGCAGTGGAACTCATTTCCCTTGTGACATTGCCTCTCGCCCCCACGTCTCTGTGCCCTGTCCACACAGAGCCAGAGACCATGCCACTGTTCAACTGTCCCAGAAGAGCAGTAGCATACATTCACAACTTTCTGAAGTTCAAATCCTGGCTCCCTCCCAAACCAGCTGGGAACCTGAGCAAGCTACACTCAAGCATCCCTATCTGCTAAGTGGCCAACTACTGACAGCCCCATCTTAGGGGCTACTGACAGCTTAAAGGAACAGACATAACCAGCAGGGCCCACACTACCTGCTGGAACAGTCTGGAAGTGCTTCAACTGGCTCAGTGATAAAGACAACCCAGGCTGGGAGGTCACAGGGAGGGAAAGGACATGAAGATCCCAGGTCCAGAAGTGCTCAGGAGCTAGAGGACAGCTTAGAGATTGCCTAGCAAGTGCCAGGCCCTGGGTTCCACCTCCAGCATGGTGGGAGTTGGGGGGGGGGAAGGGAGGCTCAAAGCAAAAGGAAATATAAAGGCATGGCAGAGAGAAAAGAGGAGAGGAGATGCGAGGGGAAAGAGGAAGTAGAAGAGTGTGCTTTGTGCCACTTTCCTCTGAGCAGCAGTGGGTTAATCACAGTGTCCCCCCCTGCTTGGGTCTCTCTATCTTAGGGTCATATCTAAATTTGCAGCCCCAGGCCCATTTGCCCCTGAGCAGCTATGAGCCTGCAGCAGGTTCTTTAGCCTCTGGGTTCTGCCCTCTGCTGCATGGACCTGGCAGGCTGGGCCTGGCAGAGCCACACGGAGGAAGCAAGACACAGGGTGGACACCCAGCCACACACACATGCAGTTCCAGCCACCAAAGGCTTATGCCACACTGTTTTGGTGGTGCAGTGAACACTCGAGGCAGAGATGTCCACATTGTCACCAACTGAGAATCCCTAATGTCACTGTGCTCCACATACTTGGATCTGAAGCACTCAGGGTGTGACACAGCCTGCAGGCAATGCTACACTGTGACAGCATGGCAGCTACCATGTCCCTAGGCACTAGACTTCTCCAGCCCCACTACAACCCTAGGGACTGCACTCACACCAGTCCATCATACCGTGACTCTCATTACACGGGAGTCTGCACTTCCACACTGAGGGGCCTGGAGCTCCACAGAGAAATGGACAATTTCAGGAAGGTGAACAACAGATGAGCTTAAGGGAGTGGTCAAAGAATGCATGGACAGGGCAAGATACAGGAAGCCCAGCCTGAAGAGCACCAGATGCCAGCACCTAGCAGCCCGAAGCAGGAGGATCATGACTTCAAGGCCAACCTGGGCTACCAGGCCCCAGAACCCACAAGGAGGCAGATCCAAACCAGAAGCCATCTGCTTCAAACTCCAAGGACAGCCAGAGCCTGACAATGAAATAAAAATGAGCCAAGAAAAGTGATCCTCACACCTGCCAACTTCAAATATGAACAGCCCTGGGGAAGAATTGGCACCTAGGTTAGCTGTGGAAATGTCAAGGGCTTCATAACTGGACCATGGTGCAGCAGCTGTTTAGGAACCACATTCTTCATGGGTCCCTATTAACAGAGTCTGAGACACAGGACAAGGGAGGTGACAGCACTGGAGAGGAACACTAGGAGGACCTGATGTCCTGGAGGGGGGCCTGTGAAGCTCTGGCCTCCTGCAGTCTCCTTCTGCACTCACTTAAGCAGCTCTTTGCTCCAGGCTAAATTTTCTTCTACCCCCCCCCCATCTCTCTCCCACTCAAAACAGCATTATCAAGGAGGTACTATCAGTCCCCTCATGTTCAGATGAAGGAACAAAGGCACAGGGATGTTGAGTGACTTGCCTGAGGTCAGACAGCTATAGGAGCCCTGGGATTTGAATTTGCCTCTCTCTTATGGTGAAGGTACTGCTAATAGCCACTTTCTAGAAGTCTAATTTCTGGCTTGAGGGATGGCTGACTCTGTGAGCGTGGGTGCAAGTCATACTCAAGGTACATACACCTTTCATTCCATTTTAGGGGCCCCTGGAGCCCCAAGTGTGGACTCAGTAGCAAAGGCAATGCTGTTAGGTAATGACATCAATGGTCTTTGATAGACAGGGTTTTTGAAAACTCATTCTGGGGCTGCAAGATATCTGGAGCAGTTGGCTGTTGATGTGAATGTGGTTGCCCTCCACACACTGGATAGTCATTCCTAAATGAGGAACAAGCCCAGACCTGCCCAGCTCCATCTGGGCCACAGACCAGGGCACCCCATAGCAGCTTGTCTAAGGAAGAGTCAAGTTCAGGCTCCTGTGACAGGAGGGTGACAGGAGACCCAGACACACCACTGCTGAAATCACATACTTAGGAGTAGGAGCTCGGGCCCGAGGCTTGGAAGGGGGCCCAAAACTGCTGCTGAAGGACTCAATGTGAGCTCCTGTACTGAGCGATGTCCTGGGTCTTCACCGTGGCCCATATGTTTGTGTGATCGTCACACAGCCTAAATATGAGTGAGTGCCTAACGACATGGCGATGCTAGGAGGAGCTCTAGGAATCAATGCGGACAGTGCTCGGGCTATGACTCTGTATATGGATGTGTAAGAAAGCAACACAGGGAGGAGCTGAGGAGATGGCTCGGAGGAAAGCACTTGCTGCACAGTAATAGGGACCCAGGTCTCCAGGACCCATGTAAGATCTAGCAGTGTGTGTCTGCAACCCTGGTTCTCAGGGAGAGGGGACAGTTCCTCCCTGGAGCTCACTGGCCACAGTCCAGTTTAATGTGTGAGCTCCAAGCTATTACTGTTATTATAGATCCTGTCTCAAAAAAATGATGGGCTGCAATTGGTGGTGGCTCCTGCCTTTAATCCCAGCACTAGGGAGGCAGAGGCAGGCTGATCTCTGTGAGTTCAAGGTCAGTCTGGTCTACAGAGTGAGTTCCTGGACAGCCAAGACTATTACACAGAGAAATCTTGTCTCGGAAAAAAAAAAAAGTGTGGTGTGTATGGGGAGGGGGCTGGAAAGATGGCTCAGCATCTAAGAGCACAGAGAACTTCGGCATCCACATGTCAACTTATAGCCTTTTGTGACTCTGGTTTCAAGGAGCTCAGTACCCTCATTGGCCTCCAAGGACTAGAACCTCCTCCAGAAGGGGCACTGGCCTATATATCATGAAGCACACAGACATATAGTCAGGCAATATAAAAATACACATAAATAGATCATTAAAAGTAAGATAAAAGTGATACAGAAAGACATTCAACAGCAACCTTTGGCCTCTACACACTTTCATGTACATACATGCAGCACATACACACACACACACACACACACACACACACACACACGCACGCACGCACGCACGCACGCACGCACACATGCACGTTTGTACAAGCTCAATACTGGGGGACATTGAGGGCTTAGGGGCCCTTAATGTGTCTCTGTTATTTTTAAAACTGCATTAAATCTTCAATTATCTGAAAATAAAGTTTAAATTTAAGAAAGTAGAAAAAATAAACTCCAAGTCTCTCGTGACATGACTTCAAAGACTCTACTCACCCTCCCCACAAACCTCTAGGGCCCTCTGGACAGTGACCACTAGCTCCCTTCCTACTGACAGGCCCAGATACACTCCTATGAGCCTCATCTGGCCCTTCCCCTGTGCTGAGGGCTCTCCCTGCTCTGTCACCACAGAGCAGTCATCCCTGCCTCAGCCTGGCACAACCTCTACCCCAACAAGGGAGGCTAAGCAAAATTATCTCTGGCCCAGCACACGGATGGTGGAGAAATCTGACTGGAAAAAGAAGGATGCTGAGGATGTGGCTTGGTGGTAAAGCTCATGCTGAAGCCTGCAGAGGGCCCTAAATTCCATCCTCAGTCATGCAAAAGGGAAACACAAAAACAAGAAAAAGACAAGAGGAAGCAACATACAAAGAGTCTTTAATATACAAAGATCCTACAAGTGAGTATGATACTTCATTGAGAAATCAGACAAAACATACAAAAGGTTTACCAAAGAAGCTGGGGCAGGAGGAAGATGTGGAACCCCCTTAGAATGCTCCCAGTTTGAGAAATAGAAGTGTATGGGGTAACCTGTGGCCAGGCAATGACAGCGAATGCCTGTAATCCCAGCATCTGGGAGGCAGAGGGAGATTCTAAATTCAAGGCCAGTCAGTACAACATGAGACTCTCAACCCCTCCCTGATAAGGAAAGGAAACTTGTCATTTAAATCGTGTATTTGTCACCAGAGCTACTAGGTGTATGTCTTCATGAATGCTAGACATTTGCGTCTGCCCTTATCATTAATTTGTCCCTAGTACCCAAAATACTGCTTGGCATATTATGTAGTGTGTGTTCAGTAACTAACTGCCTGTTAGAGGGTGAGTGGTAGAAATTAGGCAAGAACAAATTCAGCAGTCTGAACACAGACCTTGGGCCAAGCCTCTGCCCAGATAGGTGTATGTGATCCTGACTGTTTACTTCTTAGATACCCTATGAGGCAGGTGCCGTTAGCATCTCATCCCCTGGCAAGGGCACTGAAACAGAGTTGGTAAGATGCCTGCTGTGGTCCCAGAGCCAGACCACCTTGGTGCCTCTCGAAATACAGTGCAAATGTGGGGCAGGGGCCAATAGAATAAGTTGCACATACAAAGGAAGCAAGCTCAAGGGGCTGTAGTGGATTCTGGAGCTACTGACCCAAGATTCCAGTCTAAGTAGGCCTGCAGCTTCCTCCCGATTTCAAGGCGGCTGGGCTGGTCTGGCTGGGAGCCAAGGACACACAGCTCCCAGGCAGCAGCCACTGGGGTTCCCAGAAATGGTGGCCACGTCAGCAGCCCCACCTCAGACAAGGAGGCAATGCAGGCAAGGGCTTCTATCTGTTCCGGCTCAGTCCAGGGAGGGGCTGGCACAGCGTGCTCCTGCTGTCATTGAAGCAAGAAGCAGCCAAAAAGCCCATAGATGCCACCTGCCTCCCTGTGTACCCTTTCTGGTCGCAAGTACTTCATA